CCCCTTCTAATCAATGGGTTTCCCTACTGTGCCCATGAGCAACTATACTCTCATTACCAATTATATAACAGTCCCCATATTTATATGCAATAAGATTAATGTATGCAAATATGGATATTCATGTACATCGTAATCATAAATACAGCCAAATTAAAACTGGCTTTATCTGTCATTCTCTAGTAACTGTTATCTCTACATATTTATAAGGCACAGATAATCACTCAAATGCCACATGTCTTTGGAATCACTAAAAATAGGATTAAATTGTATGTGTCAGACTTTTCATGTTAAATATATTTTACTACTTTAGGATTCATTAAAAAATGGTAAAGCAGGTATAGAAAAGTGACAACAGTTACTTATCAGAATATTGGTTCACCCAAATAATCTTATATTCTAAGTTTAATAACAGAGTTTATGATTTGTGGTTTATCCTTTAGGAACAATTAGCAATGGTTATTACTGGATTCATGAATTCATTGTGCAGTTGGAAGTTGTGCCATTAAAAATATTAGCATTTCTTATCCAAGTGCTGATGGCTCACGCCTGTAATCCAAGCTACTCAGGAGGCTGAGATCTGAGGATCACAGTTCAGAGACAGTCTGGGCAGGAAAGTCTCTGAGACTCTTATCTCCAATTAACCACCAGAAAACTAGAAGTGATGCTATGGCTCAAGTGGTAGAGTTCTATCTTTGACAGCACCCAGGCTCTGAGTTCAAGCCCCACAACTGACAAAAAAAATACAAATAAAAAATTAGTATTTCCATTGAGGAAAACACTGGATGGAGAAATGTGGTTATTGGTATTATGTTTTGTCCCACAGTTGTGAAGGCAAGGAAGTTCAAAGCACAGGATCAGCATGTGCTTTGCTTCTGGTAAGGGCCTCATCCACTCTCAGAAGACCTGACTTTGTCTCTTAAGGGAGACATTCATCTGCTGATGAAGTGGAGCCATGACATAATTAGCTCTTAAAGGTCCCATCAGCTCTTAGGATGTTGCACAGGGAATCAAATTTCAACATGAGTTTTTGTGGGGACATACCCTAGACAAACCAAAGCAATGGTTCTCCTGTCTTCTCCCAGAGCTGCAGCAGGTGTTGGGAAGATTATGTAATGGCATAACCAACACTCTGAAGACAGCAGCTATTCTATTACTCTTCTGTGAGAGCACCTGTCATTCTGACTTGGACACCACACACCTTCTGCCTGGGACTGGCTTTTTATTGGCACACCAAGGAGTATACAATAGATGCTTCACAAATATGTGTTGACAACAATAAAAACCTTAGTGACATAACTAAGCAAACATGGGTGGAACGATGTAGGAAAGGGGCAAGGGAAGAAGAGACATGAGATTCCCTTGCAATACAACAAAATCAATATTAGTCTCTACCAGAAGCTGAGGCCAAGCCTCCCCCTTCATTGGATATCATACTCATGACTGTAGGCAAAGGGGAGGGATCAGGCCTGCTGGCAGAAAAGCCTTAAAGCCCTGGCTCCAGAAGAGCCAGGACTGGCAGGAACCATCATGGAAGCAGAACTGATGTTCACAGCATGAGTCATTCCTTATTTACTTGAGTGCAGCTTACAAAATGAACATGGGGTTTGAGATCAGATCTACATGCATTCACTGCCTTATTCTTCAACCAAAAGCCTGGAGAGGGGGAGGGTGGCAGGGAGGGGAGAGATCAAGAGCAAAATCTTCCAGGCAAAACTTCCTGGACTTGAATCCCAGCACGCCTATTTCCTGGCTGTGTAATATTAGGTATAGCAAAGAATCTGTCTGTGCCTGAGTTTTCTCATCTGTGAGGTAGAGATTATAATTCCTGTTCCACAGGGCTTTATGAAGATTAATGAGATAATAATTATAAAGTTCTTAGTAGAGGGCATGGCATATTACTAAGCAGTTCATATAGGTATCCTGGATCATTCTGAGCCTAGATTATCTTGATAAGAAAATGGACATATGTGGAATCTCTTGGAACAGCTTCTTATACATGAAATATTTAAATTGTTTTCTTATTATTTCTAACACTTTTATTTCTCTAGTTTAAGCAAGATTCTTTCTTGAGGTGGACTTAAGCCTTTCTATGGATATTTTTGTCTCTGATGACAAGTTTGGAAGACAAGAACTATTTCTGTGCAGTTCTGGGCCAGTCTTTTCTTTTTCTTTCTCCTCAGGATAAGTACACCTTCTTTGTGGATCAAAACATTCCATTGTACACCAATTTCTCTGGTCGATGAGCAAAGGAGAAGTGCACTGGTTTTCTGGAGCTACCATGACAGAGTCACACAAACTTGATGGCTTTAAACAACAGAAATGCACTCTGTCACAGTCTGGGACATGAAGACTGAAATCAAAGTGTCCTTATGGACAAGGGGGGAACCAATGCAACAGTTATATGCGCAAGACAATACATTGGAAATGATCTGTATAACTTGGGGTTAGGGGATTGGGAGAAGGAATGTAGGAGGAAAATGAGGGAAGGGGTAACAAGTTAGAAAAGAAATGTACTTATTACCCTCTGTATAGCACCTTGACCAAAAAAGACTATACAACAACAACAACAATAAAAAAAAAGTGTCCTTATGGCTATGTCCCTCTGAAGGATCTCAGAGAGAATCCTCCCTTGCCACTTGGCGCTCCCGATTACTCTAGGTGTTCTTTGCCTTTTACTAGTATAACTCTAGTGTCTGGGTTTTGTCTTCCCTCTGTGTTCCTCTATCCCAAATCTTCCTCTGCCTTTATTCTTATAAGGATTCCTGTCAGGCTTAGGATGCACTTTAAATTCTGGGTACTTTCACCTCAACTTAATTATATCTGCAAAGGTATCATTTCCAGATCTACACTTTCAATTACCAGGAAATTAGGACATGGTTGTATCACTTGGAACCAACTATTGAACCCACTATTAGGAATGACAATACCCTAATCAAGTCTATATAGAATACATCCCTTTACCTCATTTACATCTACCTACACCTTTTTTTTTCTTTTCCTTGAACACTTGGTCCAGTCTCATTCATCCCCCTAAGACAGGATACTGACAGTTAGAAGAACAGCAAACAGCATGAATAGCCCATCTGCATTCTACTTTGACCCGTATCTGTAACTACTTCCTGTTTGGAGACTTGCTGTGGGGAGTCCATCAGACATTTGATCCTGCCCTCTTCTAAATGCCTGCTCTTCATGGCACTGGGAACACTACTCTGGAAACATGTAGAAGAATCAGTTGTCACCCTGGAGCTCAGCAGTGGCAGCCTGTCCTGTCTGGCTCTTCACCAGTGTTGCTTGGACACACATCAGGTTTCCTAGATGAAGCCAAAACAAGAGACCCTGGTAAGCTGGAGCAAGTAGAGACAGTAGATCTGGGTCAGTGCAGGAATGATGTTTACAGTTGGACCAAGCAAATAGGCTTAGAATGGAATCTGGGTCGCAAGTTTGGCAGACGGGCAGGAACATGAAGCTTGATGCACAAATAAAACCCAGACCAGCCTTGGATGGGCACAAGCCTGTCCTTGGCTGATTGGGTGGATCCTTGATGTGCCATAGCAGATTGCAAGAGTATTTACTGAAGATCAACAGATCAAGATATAAGACAATGTTTGTTGTCCAGCAGAGGAAAATATACCAAAGGCCATGGACATATAACAAACTATCAGAACTGTGATAACTGAAAGGATGGGGACTGGAATCAGATGGACAACATTCAAGCTCTTCTTTCCTGGCATTCCTAAAAGCAAGTACAAAAGGAGAGGGGCGGTAGTGAACTCACCTGGAAAAGGAGTCTGAAGTAGCCTGACTTTTCTTTAAATGGGGTTTATGGAGATACAATTACTTTAAGTAATTGGATTGTCCATAAGAACTTAAGTATTACACATGCAGTATTTCTTCTCTCCAAAAAGAGGCTCTTCAGTGTGTTTTGGGTGAAATGGATCCCAAGATTCTGAGCACTTAAACGGGAATCTCTATTTCATTAAAAGAACAAGGTACTTTCAAATGTATGTAAAATACCAACATAGCTATATAGGAGACTTTCTAGATACCATAATCATCTTCCCAGTATTTATTAACTTTGTTTCTGTTATCTACCAAGGTATGTGGATTGGTTTTCTGTGGCTGCCATTACAAAATATTCCACACAGGATACCTTAAGCAACATGACTTGGAATTCACCCACACCTCCCCCCACACACACACTATGCTGGAGGTTGGAATTAAGGTCATGGTAATGGCCTGGGTTTTCCTCTTAGTTCTCCCTCCTTGACTTGTAGCTGATCCCTTTTTTCCTGTGTCATTAACTGGTCTTCTTGCTATACGTGGCTGTGTCCTTACCTTAACTCAATTACCTCTTCAAAGCTTTTAAAGCCCTATCACATTCTGAGATATCAGGGACTTGGGCTTCAAAACAGGCATGGGATGGGAGGAGGCACAATTCAGACCATGGAAGCCTGCTTCCTACTCCTTTCATTCCCCACCATATACTTCTTTCCTATTCTAGCCTCCTTCCCACCATACTGCCTCATTCAACATATAACTTTTCCCATATTTTTCACCTAGACTACCTTCACATTAACTTGATGACATCTAATTTCTTCCAGGGAGAAATAGAAGCTGACAAGTTAAAATACCCTAAGGATATCAGGACACTAGGCAGGCCCAAGTGAAGAAGCATGTCTTTTGATATTTTTGCTTATTTCTTTCATTCGGCATAGTCCCACAGATCCTTTCCTGGCAAGGTTTTGTAGAGCAGCTTTGCATATATCAAATATGTTCCTAGGATCTTCTGTACTGCCCACAGTATATATAGCCACTTCTAGCCACTGCTAGGCACTCCAGTTATAAATGGGTAGGGAATGGTTGAACAGCAAATGTTTGGAAAGGAAACAATTGTCCACATTTTAACACTAGCTTCTGCAGCTAGCATGAATAATTAATGGTAAGTCGGATTCCTACAGTAATTTAACTCTGAGCAGCATGATCATTTTAAGCTGAAATACCTTCTCCTGCTGAAAGGCAGAGATTTGCCGAGTAGAAGGAGCTGGTTCTTCCTCCTCTACTAACAGACAGTATTCCAAGGGAGCCTTGGAATACCTGAAAGCAAGTCCTTCCACCAGTATTTGCACAGTCTCATTGAGCAGGAAATGGAAACTCAACTCAGCCTGATGTACAAAAGACCACAGAAGCCTGCAGACTGTACTTAGACGTGTGTGTGTGTGTGTATGTGTGTGTATGTGTGTGTGTAATACTGGAGATTGAACTCAGAACCTCATACTTACTAAAAACCTCACACTTTCCAGCCCTATTAGTGTTTCAGATACAGTTTCATGCTAACTTTGCCCCAGCTGTATGTGAACTGTAATCCTTCTAGCTCAGCCTTGCAAATAGCTGGGACCACAGACATGCACTACCATACCTGGTTAAGTTCAACTCTGAGCAAACAAATTATGTTGAACTATGTAATTGGTACTAGGCCTAAGAAGTGATGAGCTGTCATGGTTGGAGGGGAGGCATGGTTGAGTTGGTTAACCACACCAGATCACAATGGCAATGAGTAAAGGGACTAGGTAAGAAAGAAGGCAGGAATGTTTTGGGTTAGGGTACTATACACTGAAAGTAAGGGCATAGAACAGCAATCTCTGTGCTGACTTTTGTAGACTTGGAGTCTCTTTCTGTGCAAGGACTGTGCTGTGCATAAATTGGGTCTAGTGTCAGAACAGCACTGCCATTTGCCTCTATGATCACTGACTTGCAGATCAGGTTAGTAAAACTCTAGAAGATCTAACAGAGTTAGAATCCAAGTCCCAAACTTTTCCTACACACAACTACCTCTGTTCCTTCCACCATACATCATTTTTATATGGGAATTCAATCATAAGAAACAGAGAAGCCATATTTTGAGAGGTTGAATTGGGAGTCTTTATTAGAAAGCCAGCCACTGCAAGTGGACTCTTGCTCCAAAGACATGCAGGCCAGAATGCTGTTAGCACAAAGCTTTTAGAAGTCAAAGCCCACACATTTGGGGTGGGAGCCCAAGCTCAACAAAAGCAGACCCTATAGGGGAATATTCAGGGGCAAGCAAAGCAAACCATGAAGAGAAACAAATCAGGGGTGAGAAAATCAAACTATCTAGGGAAATAACCAAGGGTGAGCATTCCCTACAGCAAAGCTTTCCAGGGGGCTAAACAGCATGACATCTGGCCTGTCCCACCTCTAAAGTCCCCACCACTTACGGCAGTGAGAACACAGCATTGTTACTTAGACCCAGTATCCTTATTTCATTATAAAGGTCCTAAACTGTGGCTTAATGTATGTTACTCATAATGTATCATATTGAATAAGAAGAATAGACTTTGAGTAAACCAAAGTTTGTTTCTAAGTGTGGTTTCACTTCTAAGTTACTTATTTTTTTTATTGACTTCATAAAGTTCAAAGAAAATTTGTCATGCAGATCCTGCTGAGAGAGAGAGAGACACAGAGAGAGAGGTGGTTCAAGCAGGACAACATACTTGATTTTTGCATTTGAGGTTCTGATGTCTACAGTAGGCTGGCTTTGTCCAAGAGTGTAGCCCTGTTACTAAAAGCAGTGGGACAGCATCTGCTTCTGCTCAGCTGACAGCTTCCAAGAAGGGTAGTCTCTTCCCAGGTGAGGTTGCTGTCTACTGGGAGATAGGACAAGTCAAATTTCATAACAGGCACTACACAAGAAGAATACATTTGATCAACATATCCCCCAGACTGGTCAAGGGGATTGCTGTAATGCTTGGTGTAAATCAGCATGGTAAGTACTACTGAGAAGAGTTGAAAGGGAGAAAATACCCAATAAAAGAAAATGAGTGCACCCAGCACTGGTGGCTCACACCTGTAATCCTAGCTACTCAGGAGGCTGAGAACTGAGGATCCTGGTTTGAAGCCAGCCTGAGCAGACAAATTTGAGACATTTTCATTAGCAATTAACCGTAACAAAAAGCCAGAAGTGGAGGTATGGCTCAAATGGTAGAGTGCCAGCCTTAAGAGAAAAACTTAATCCAGAGCCCGGGGCCCAGAGTTCAAGCCCCAGTATAGCACATGCAATGAAGAAGAAAGAAAAAAAGGAGGAAGAGAAGGAGGAGGAAGAAAAGGAGGAGGAAGAGGAGGAGGAAGAGAAGGAGGTGGAGGAAGGGGAGGAGGAGGAAGGGGAGGAAGAAGAGGAAGAGGAGGAGCAACCGCAGCAGCAAGATGGGCTTTTGAGTTTGCATGGCTCTCACTCAGATATGGTATTTTCTCAGATTGGGGGATGGCAGGGGTATTGGGCAAGTTATTATGTCAGAAAAGAAAAGATGACTGGTGACCATTATACCTGCAACCTCATGAAAGAGGATCCTACCTTGCTCTCTAACTCATCCCCTTACCATCATAGGACCTTTGACTCATCCAGCCTAGGATCCAAGAATCAACTTGAGTACCTCCAGCTGCTTCACACTTCACAGCTGGTACCCAACACACGGAGGGATTTTTAACCCCAGGTTGCTGTCAGAACCCAATCCCAGCTCTCTCCCTCTCTCCTTGCTTTGAACCAAGCCCCTGTCCTCTGTTATCTGGAGCAGTTAGAACCTCCCTTCTGGCCTCTCTTCCTCCTGTCGATTCAGTCCTGTCTCTTCTGAGACAGCAACTGGTGAATCTTTCTGAGTAATAGACTGAGCCCGCCATTCCTTTGTGAGAGTGATAGTTCTAATTGGAGACTTCCTGAACTCTAAGAATCCAGGGGTGAAACTGCACATTTTGCCATGAGAAAGAGACACATAGTGGATAACAGCTATTTACCTATTCCATTATGTAGCTATAACCCCCTGTGCAGTCAGATTGGGGAAGGTGACAAGTTTTATTCTAATGAGGTAATGGGCCACATCTCATGCTTACCCATGGCTCTGATGAAAAGTTATGGAGATCAAAAGGGTAACAAATTAGTTACTTCTTAAGAATTTCAATTCTGGGAAGAAATCAGTGAAGGTATGTGATCCATAAGAAAGGAAGCCTCACAAGGAAGTCCTGGAAATGATGAAAGAGGTGACATTGAGGGGCTGGGAAGGTGGCTCAGTCGTAGAGCGCTTGCCTTGCATGCCTGAGGCCCTGGGTTCGATTCCTCAGCACCACATAAGCAGAAAAAGCCAGAAGTGGCACTGTGGCTCAAGTGGTAGAGTGCTAGCCTTGAGCTGAAGAGCTGAGGGACAGCGCCCAGGCCCAGAGTTCAGGCCCCACAACCGGACCCAAAAAAAAAGAGGTGACATTGATCAAGATGCCTTGTATTAATAAATTGCTTTGTGGAATGGTAAGTCCTTTGTACAACTAAAGATAATAAAAATACATTTTTAAAGGGTGTCTTTGAGCGTGAATGCTGAAGTCACTGACCTACAAGGTAAGATCTAAACAGTGAGGTTCATGTCAAAGCAGAAGGTACTCAAAGGCCTTCATGGTTTTGTTGAATGACTTCTTATTGACCTGTGCTTTCTAACCTGGATCTTGTTAGCTCTCAGTTGGCAGGTTCATGAGGCCTTGCCCTCAAAAATATTGCTACCTCATCTGTAGGAAGTCCAAGGCTTCCTTACCCTGCAAGATCTAGCTGAAGCATCACCTTTCCTGTTGAACTCTCTGTGGCCTTCAGCTATAACTCTAGTCTCAGGACTTCTTGCATAATATGAGTCTTTCATATGTGTGACTCTGGCTGCTCATAATCATGTGCACTTTCCCCTCAGAGGTAATGTCCCTTCCTAACTCTGTGCCCCCTCACCTTAGGTTAGGGCCTAGGTCACAAGAGACATTTGTCATCTGCAGGGTCCGTGGGGCTGCCCTTCCAGGCTTCTCATCTGTGCTGGCTATTGATGATGATGAATGAACTATTTATCTAAGGGGCTTCGTTGCTAAAGTATGGGGATTTCACTCTCTCCCTAGAGCCAGCCCACTGCAGCTGCCCCTCCCCGGTACTGTGTCCTAAATTTCAGGCAGCTCTTCCCTCCTATCGTCTTCAGATCTCCCTCCTCTCCTCTTCCTCTTCCTGTTTCATGTCTTCATAATGCTTATCAGCTAACTTTTTTTTTAGTATTCATTTTTTGTTTATTTAGTGTATTGTGTGAGTCATCCTCCTTCCCCACTACAGAGACTACGAGTTCTGCAAGGTCAGGGATTTTGTCTTGGTTACTGCACAAGACTAGCTTCTGATATATTGGGGTACTCTCAAAACTATTCCTAAATGGAGAAGTAATGAAATAATCAAGCTTTAAGTAACCAGTGCCTCATAGTCTCATATACTCTCATAGTAAAGCCATCAAACTTGAGAATGAAATGAAAAAGCAATTCAGGTTAGCTTTAGTTCAGTATTGTCGTTCAATTAAGGAGAGAGGAAGAAGAAGAGTCACCACACCCAGGGAAGATTGGAACCCTGTGCAGAAGTAAGACCCCTGTGAGATCCTTGGTTCTTGATTCATAGTCACCCACAGTACCTGGCAGGTGGTGAACACTGAGTTTATTATTGCACGTCAAGGTCAACTAAAACCCAGAAACAGTTTGCTGTGTGTTTGCACAGATTTCTGCCCTGAAATAAACAGGACTAAAAAGTCATAGGGCTCTTAAGAGTGTCTGTGGAGAAAGCAGAAATGGAGTCGCTAGGATCAAGTTCACCTTAACACATGATGGTAGAATCAACCACTAATCACACTACTACCAGAACCTCTGGACTCAGATCTTTGTTGGCATTGTTTGATGATCACTAAAGATGTTAAGGGTCAAAAGAGAAGAGAAACTCTCTTTTGACTAGAAACACTGAGAAGGTATAGTTTGAATAAATATCCCCCAAAAGTACATGTATTCATTCTTTGTCACCAGCCTTTGTGCTATTGGAAGGGGATAGAACCTCTAAGAGGGGGAACTAGTAGAAGGAAGTTAGGGTCATTGGTGATATGCCCTTGATGGGGTCCACTCTTCTGTCTTTGTCTCTGTCTCTGCCTCTCTGTCTCTGTCTCTCTCTCCCCCTCCTTCCTTATGAGGTAAATAGCTTTATTCCACAGTATGCTCACTACAGGTCCAAAGCAATGTGACTAACCAACATTGGACTGAAACTTCTGGGACAAAGAAATCGTCCCCCCCTTTAAGTTGGTTATCTTTTTCAGTTTTTTGTTACAACAGCAGC